CTTATTTAGCGCAACCCCACTTGTTTCGCAGTGACATTTTATGGATTTCAACGATCGCATTATAACGGGGCTACACTGTATCTCCAGTTCCTCAGTCTTAACTTTTGTTACCAGCTGAGACATCAACCTACTTCATCATAAACAATATCAAATCTAGCAAATTTAATGTATCTTGTTCAATGACACATTAATATAGTGGTATAAAACAAAATTTTGGCAAAGAACAAAGGAAAAACAATTATAGAAAATAAGACAATTAATATCTTCTTAAACATGTTTCTTGACAGACCAGTTATAAGATTGCAAGCATAAAAAGTACATAGCAATTCAATTAGATTCTAATTGTTGCATAACTATGTCACTGTCAATGTTGCTTTTCCCTACAAAGCCTTCCACTTCATAAATTCTAGCACTATATTCAAAGATTTTACAAACTTATGATTAAAAAAAAAACACTGGAGTCGTCAACTTATTATTTTTATTACATATTTGCACAAGAACTGTCTGTTGAACAGACTGTCTTAAATATGACTATTACGTGTAAAATTTTGAATAAATCTTAAGTTAAGAAATAATCAGCCTGGCAGTATGACAAGCAACAAATTCATAAAATTTCAACAGTGAATTAATCATGAAAAACCCTCAAAACTCCCTTTGAAAATGCACGACTTCACTAAGAAATGAATTGTTGTGTAAAGTCAACCATGGCTCAAAGAGTAGCTTTCATAATGTTCATAATTTTTCACACAACTAATGTATATTCAAGACTGCTATTTTATTTCACAAAACAAGGGAAAACGGTTAAGCTACTGTCAAAATATATCTTAGATAGTAGCTTAAGCAGTAGACTTTTAACCGTCATATAATAAAACTGTTGTTTAACTTATTACAAGCTGTATTAGGAATGGAATGTGTTTACTGTATTAGTCTTAAAATGTACTAATATGTGAGGAAGTAATTTTTCTGTTTATGGACTTAAACAAAAACTCGTTTCCGCTAAGGACAAATGAGGAAGCAAAAAAAAACTGCTGTAACTGAAAATGTATGCCTTATTTTATATAATTATAGGATCATATTACCATTTGACTGTATTCCAGTTATTATCTCTCCATACAGGTCTGTTCTTCTGTGTGTCCATACTGGCATTTCTTGTCGAACTTTGCGTAAATAATCTAAATCAATTTCAGCAAAAGCAACATCAGTGCCTTCATGACAGCAGGCAACTACACAACCCCAGGGGTCAACTATCTAAAAATAACATTAAAAAAGTGAAAAATAACCTACTAGAGTAAATAAAAAAATCCTAGGTAAGAATGCTTATTTCTTTTTAAGACAAAGTAAACTGCTAATAACCTATTAACAATTCATGGTTTCACATTTTTTCTGTAATATTATTATTGAAATAAAGTTTACACTAAGACAATCCACTCACATGTTAATAATTACAAGTTTTAAAAAACAGACCACATACAGACTTAGTAGAAAAAGTTCATAAACTTTTGCTGACTCGGTGATTAAGATGTATATTTGATTGTTTCGGATAAAACCTCTAAAGGCTACGTCAAACCATAAGTGCACAATCAGGTGACTTTACAAGTATGTTGGAGAAGAGGTAACAATCAGAAATGTGACTTGATGCTTTATCCTGATGTAGCATATGTCCTGGTAATATATTGCAGGAACTTGATCTTGTATTATTAGTGTCACTACATTCTCCTGATAGTGAGTTCACTTTTGTTTTACTGTGTACTTTGTAAAGTATTAACTTCCCACTACATGAAAAATCTGTGGCAATCATAAAATCCTCGTTCCATTCTCCGTACCATGTCAGACACAAATCATGACATTTTTTTAAAATCACCATATACATCAGTTAACAATGTTATTTAGTTACTTCTCAGGTTATAAAGCCTGCATAGAACAGGTAGACATCAAACACGCAAATTGTGACTACAGCCACAAAATATACTGACAGCTACTGATTTGAAACATATCATTCAGGATTAGCAACCTTTATACAAAGTGCTGAACATACACATATTTTCTATAACACTTCTCTGAAGTTAACAGACCAAACAAGATAGGTATACAAGTCAGTCAAGAGACCCTCAACATGACTTCCAAAAGGCTGACAGAAAGCCACAGCTGCATTGCAGGCATATTGGCATGTGCCACCATCAATATAGAGCCAATGAGAAGCTTTTCTTTGCTTAATTAGTTGCTCCAGACCAGAGATGGCCAACTTCTTTATATTCGTGGGTCAGTTCCTTACCTAGACTGTAGTCTTGGAACTGAAACTGCATGACCAGGTAAGGTATGTTTAGAATATATGTTTCCAAGAATATTTAAGTTGTATAAACACTCAGTTAATTATATGGTTTTAAATAAATACCCGAGTTAAGAGTAGAAGAAAATTTTCAGAACCATTATGAGAATGGTTTGCTTGGTTACGGTTTCATTTTTTTTTGCCAAAATACAATATGGTTAAAAAAAAAGGTGCCGGATAAAATACCTTTGTGGTCCAGATCTGACCACCAATGCCACCAGTTGCCCATCTCTGCTCCAGACCATGCTTTGATCCTCTCATAACAACACCAGAACCCATCAAAATTTGCATTAACCTATTTTGTCAAGTCACCATTCCAATTTCACAAAGAAAAGAATGTATGGTTGTTGTGCAAGATGTGGTTGTATAAACCAGTCTTCCTCCGTGCCATTTACTAACCAAATAATGAGTTAAGTCAACCTATTCCATGGTGCAGCTAAAACCTAAAACTGAAATGGACAAAAAATAACCAGAATATTACAGAAATATCTTGAATGTGAAAAATGCAGAGGTGCAGAAAGAGAAATAGAAGTTTTGCATTTCAGTAAAAACTCAGATTACTCACATCATTATATGTATAACTCAGATTACCCACATCATTATATGTATAACTCAGATTACCCACATCATTATATGTATAACTCAGATTACCCACATCATTATATGTATAACTCAGATTACTCACATCATTATATGTATAACTCAGATTACCCACATCATTCTCAGATTAC